AAAGAGTCACTCATAACTATTATAAATTAAACATGCTAATTCACAGTCCCACTTTCAGTCGGATGACTTCCTAACTAAAATCGACCAGCACAATGCCAAATTGGCGAGAAACGTTGCCAGTCTGGAGTAATTCCAGTAGCAGGGGCAGACGGCGGTCATACAAGCAGCGGCTCATAATGCGCATGCTCGCTGAATCGTGACCTGCTGGCCGTAGACGCTTGTGTGAAGAAATTGACATTCAAAAGCCAGAGGGAAAGAGAAGGAGATGAAGATCATGAACAAGGTGGCTAGGCAATGTGGAAAAGTAGTTAAAGAATGTTGGTGTCAATAGGTGGAGGACTGTGGCATTGGATGGCTAAGTTGGCAGAAGCTGACAGCCCCGACTGGAAATTGGCTGTAAAGTGTAAGAAGAACATTAAGCAGTGAAATATTTCTATGAATTTTTCTATTTTATATTTTTAGATATTAAAAATGCTAACATAATTTTTAAAGTTACAGACATTATGAAGTTACAGACAAATTATATGAAAAGTGATAAAAGTTTAAAAACAAATCGGAATAACTATTCAAATAAAAGTGTACAATATAGTAGTTACTGTTAAACAAAAATGGATTAGAAGAAGTGTGCTGTAAAATATAATATACTAAGGTAAACTTTATTTCTGATATATTTACAATTTTTCCATGTAAATATTGTCAGATGTAAAAAAATTCTTAATACACCTGTATTCTACTATTTTTAAAATTATTCCCCAACAAAAAATATTATGTAAGTTCTAATAAACTTTCAAAACAAAATGACTAGTGACAATAATTTATGGAAAGGTTTGAACATGCCTTAGAAACTATAATACTAAAAGGGATCCCGTTAGGTGGCCCCATCTCTCAGCTTTGGGGGGGGGCTGATTTTTTAAATTGGTCCTACACTATTACTCCATGTGTTTCACAGAAGCTCCCTGACCACTCGGAGGTATAGAAGGGACACCTTAGAGCCCCAGGCATGAATTTTCAGAGGTATAGTTTGTTCAGAGTTAGTTTTTATGAACAACAGTACAACTGGTAGATGAGAAGAGCAACGATATTTCCAGATATGAATCCAAATGAACTTAGAAGGCAAATGCAATTTGCCACCTGCCTCTGTAACCAATCCAGATCCTAAGAATTGCTTAGGTGTAGGAATATGTGTATTTGTCACAGGGACTCATTCATCAGCTGTCTTGCCAACATTAAAATGATACATTGTGTGACATTTATTTCTGTTAGAACCATAAATGCCATGTACATTTCGGAAATTTCTGCTCTCGTGAGCATTATAGGGGGATCACAACAGGACACTTTCACAGGTGTGCATTGTAAATTGCTATCTTACATCTCTCTACCCATGACAAATTTCATTAATTATGTCCTTTATACACATGGAAAAAACAGCTTTTTGCTGCTGAAAAAGTTTAATTTTCAAGTAGTATGATCAGATTTAACAATTTGCATTAAAAAATAAACCATTAAACTTATCTGTTCTTTTCTGCTTTCCTACACCAATTCCGTACTTATGGTCTTTCTTTAATTTTAAACAAGGCAAGTCAGAAAGAATCATCCGATTTCAATTTTATTAATTTAAAAAAATTAACAGCACAGAATCATAAAAAATACATGAATGCAAAAACATAATGTCAAAGTTTCATTTATAGATGTTTGATATGACTTTCTTAGTCACATGTATATGTCAAAGTGGTGTAAAATTTCTCAAACACATCCCAATTTGTCAGGTAATTTTTCCTAAAGAGCAGAAATGCATTTTTAAAATTAGTTTAGACTTGTAAACTTAGGTGCTGGTATAGGTTGAAGCAAGACCAGCACCTGTTCATTAGGTGCTGGTATATTACGTAGGTTGTTTTTTCTTCAACCTCCGATTGCACAGTATGATGACCAGGTATGCGGCAGGTGATTGGTGTGCGTAGTAGGCGACTGCGCATTTCTCCCTTCACACGCTCTGTCACTGGCATATTCTACATGCCATTTTCTGTTGAGTTGCAGTCACGTAAACATGGCTGTGACTATTGATTTTCCAGCCAAGTATGAATTGCGAGCTGTTATTCGTTTCTTGTAGGCAGAAGGGAACAGTGCAGCGGAAATTCATCGAAGAATGAGTTGAGTGCATGGAAACAGCTTTATGAGCGATGGCGTTGTTCGTGAATGGTGTCGAAAGTTTAAAGATGGCCGAACTGATGTGCATGATGAAGGGGGTCAAGGACGCAAGTCTGTCGCTACAGACGACATTGTTCAACGAGTTGACCAAGCAGTTAAACAAAATCGAAGGTTCACCATAAGTGAATTATCAATGAAATTTCCGGAAGTTTCAAGATCTTCCCTGTACTCAACTTCTGAAAAGTTGCACGACAGAAAAGTTTGCGCTCGCTAGGTCCCACAGATGTTGACTGACGACCACAAAACTCGCTGAATGGCTTGTAGCGTTTGAGTTTCTTGACCATTACAAATACTGATGGAGAAGAGACTTTTTGAAATCCATTGTGAACAGGTGATGAAGACATGGGTTCAGTAAATGACACGCCCTAGAAACTAAAACGACAATCACAACTAGCGGATGCACACACATATTCTCCAAAGAGACCCACAAAATTCAAACGAAATCTTTAACAACAACCGTAAGGTTATGGCAACTGTTTTTTGAGACCAAAAAGGTGTGTTGCTTGTGGAAGTTATGCAGCCTGGAACAACAATTAATGCAGATTCATATTGTGAAACTTTGCGACGCTTACGGAGAGCTATTCAAAATAAACAAAGAGGCATGCTGACTTTTGGAATTGTTCTGATTCACAACAATGCCCGTCTTCACAGTGCTCGTGTAACCCAACAGCTCCTTCAGCAATTTCAATGAGACATTTTCGAACATACACCATATAGTCTCGACCTAGCGCCGAGTGACTTTCATCTGTTCCCTGAACTGAAGCAGTGGCTTGGCGGGAAGCGCTTCCAAAATGACGTGGAGCTGAAAGAAACCATCACAACTCACTTCCAATCATTGGCGGGGACATTTTATGAAGAGGGTATTGCAAAGCTTGTTCACAGATATGAAAAATGCCTCAATCATCAAGGTGATTATGTAGAGAAATAACCTGTATTGTACATTACTTTTGGTAATAAAATCTTTTTTGTATATTCACCCATCTTTTCTTTATAGCCCATCGGAGGTTGAAAAAAAATAGACCTCGTAGATAGTGCTTGAAACTGTTAAGCTCTGCCCTAATTTTTTGATGGAGAATGTCCCAGGGGGAAGGGACGGTTTCCACCACTCTTTCCCTGCCACCAAACACTTGAAAGAACTTATGGTTTACTGTATATTTCCAGCACCCTCTTGCTGCATAGACACTGTATATTTAGAAACATCCATGCTTTCTCTTTGATTTGAACCTGGGCTCATCAGTACTGCAGCAGTAATCACCACTAACCATTACAACTGGTTGGGCAGCTGTGAACTTGAGTAGCAGTTTAAAAACATTAAAAATAATATCTTCAAACTTAGGAGGCCACTTTTTTATTCATGTGGTCCAGGGAATCTAATTGATATCATGCAAATGACTATATGCAAAAAGGTTAGTGCTCTTCAGCCACTATTTTCATTTTTAATTAAAAAGAATTTTTTAAACAATGAATTAACACCCTCTGTTGTTCATAAGCAAAAACTTTGTCCTTCTTCTTTTCCATTTAGAACATACTTATCATCGTATTCTGTTAATTATATATATACAACTTAAACTGGATGAATTTACTTGCATTTATTTCTGCTTTTCTCTATTCTTTTCTAAATTTTTCATAGTTTTACTTGCAATTAATTAACTTTCAATTTTTTTTTTCAAAATTTGGATGTAACTTCTTATTCCAGCTTTTCAGCTTATATCTTGAAGGCCCTAAACACATCTCTCATACAAAATTTGTAATACTAATTCAAATATTATTTGGATGAGATAGCACTGTGGCATTTGATATCTTTAAATAAATAAAGATCAAATGTTACTATAATGAAAAAACATTAAAAAATTGATACATCAAGAAAAATTTAAACCAAATACCAATTAAAATTTTAGACAGTGTAAATATTAATGTATCGACATATGCATAAAAAACAACAAAAGGAAAACATTTTCTCTTATTATATTTCATAGTGATTTTGCAAAATGCAAGATTAATTAACATTTGAACATATAAATGTAGGTTTATGAAAAATCAACTTATAGTTTTTATACTGCTGGGCAGAATTAAATGAAAAAGTCACAAAGGCTTGGAAAAAAAGCAAATTATTTATTAATTAATGAATGTTTTGCACAATAAACTTTTATTATTTGATTGTAGGATCATTCTCTGTTTTTCCACATAAACTAAATTAGATCCTATAATGAACCTGGTGAATTCTCGCACAGGCATGAATATATACCAGCACAGGAGAAGGGTGAAAATAACCCTTTATTAATTTCAAATAGTTAACAGAAAGGCACGATCTTTGCGTTACAATTGCACCGTCAAACTTGCGGTGAAACTAAAAATGTAGAATATAATTCAAGTTAAAAATCTAAAATAAGTAGTGCTGGATAGCTCATAGGTTACGTCTAACAGGTGGATTCCCTAAACCTAACTGGCATGATAATAAATCCGAAATGGCCAAGAGGTTTACTAGCATAACAGTGCATTGGCTAGAGAAAACATGCTCTGAAAAAATTAGTTTCACCCATTTAAATATGCACTTCACTAACTTTAAATTTACATCCTGGCGAGAGAATGTGTGGGGAAGTTGAAAAATTCAGTAAAGGTACCAAACTTAAAATAAATTTGTTATACAAAATAAGGGAAACCCTACATTATAATCATATGTATAACAAGATCAATTACAAGCCCATATCTTAACAGTTTTTCTCTTTAAAAAAAAAAAAAAAATTGAAGCGATATTTGAAATTATGGTAAACTGCACCACATAAGATAATTCAAAAAATTGTTTACAGGTTTTATTCACATAAATACAGATCTTAGGTTCAATTTCTATTCACAAAGTTTTTTAAAACAAGATACCGAATTTTATGAGAATATTCTCAGCATTGTGAGTTAGATGATTCTGCAAAAATAAAAACACAATTTTATAAACCTTACATATATTAATAAATCTGTTAAGCAAAATATTCATTATATTTTAATTTATTAAAAACCAATAACTTTGCAATTTAATTTAATTTGCTTCATGCAAAATTAATGACTATTACATTCGAGAATAAATTATCATCCACCAGTGACTAACTTACCGAGTCACAAAACATATAAGTCTTTCCAAAAGAATGCAAAACTTTAATAAATAGCCTTAGTACTTTACCTAGTTAAATAACCCAATCAGTCCAAAATTCAATTAGATCATTTTTCATTGTAACTGATTAAATTTAACATATTTGAGAAAAATTTAAAAATAAAAAGCAGCTACAAGACAAAATTTTTTATTCTCGTAATTAATAGTTCTACTTTGGGTGAAACAATTTATGCAATAATTATTTAGTATGACTGCAAATTTCACAAGCAGATATATGAAACTTTTATTTTTAACTGATTAAATCATAATGTACATTTCATCAGCTGGAATTTTTTTTTTTTTTGACTGGGGTAATTTTTAAAGTAAGAGTTTACAAAAATTTTCATTTAAACTGTTGAAACTGTTTTCATAAAATTCTCTAGCTACTTTTAAGAAATGTTATTGGAATGGATAGGCATATGAGGGAATAAAGACAGACGTTATCTTTTTTTGAACACCCTGTATATACTACTTATATATGTTAAAAAAGAGAGAGAGAAATGCATAGGTTCACTTTTTATTTACTAGCATGTCAATATAGGATCCAGAAATTAGATCATCATTTGCAACATCTAATTTTTCCATGAGATCATTAGCTATAAGCTGACCTTCTTCAAGAGTTTGTTCTTCATTCAGCATTACCTAGAAAATATTTAAATGCATTTATGGTAATTAATGTTACATTGTTAAACATTTAAAGAAATTATTTACTTTCAATTACCATGCTCAACAATTTCTTTACTTAATTTAAGCTCTATTCTATTAACCCTTTGCGGCGCACTATACGTTAACGTCGGAATTTAAAAAAAAAAAAAAAAATTGTATGCAGTCTATTTAGTTCTAAAGGAGTATACAGGTAAAATTTTGTAAAAATTGCACTTACCGTTTTAATTCTGTGGGTGTTCCATAAGGTGGAACACTGCGCCGCCAAAGCTTTTAAAAGTACGACTAAGCGAGCATTGCAGTGAAGCACGAAAATGAGTAGAAGCGTTTGTATAAGAATGAAAAAACTCTGTATTATGGCTGTATATGTGGTTTCCTGGATATACACAATATTCTTGAACATATACGGATAAATGAGATAAATATCTATATACACAAGTCCTATATACAAAAATATTTACAAATTTTCAGAAAGAGTTAGACCTCTCCGCGCCATTTATGGAAAATTAATAATAAAAAAATTAACTACGATTAATATTAACAATAAAGAAAAATAAGCCTATAATATATACATACATGAAAAATATCTACACAATTATTGAAAATAAACGGGAATGAGACTAAAATGCAACAGCAAAAAATTTGTGCAGGTCTAAGTAAAGATGAGTCAAGCTACTAATAAAATTCCCGCCTAAAAACTACTCCCAAAAAATTTGAGATGCCAATATTAGGGCTTTCATAACACAAAACACACCTCACCCCTGCATACTGCTTTGTTTGAATTCATACCCCCAAAAAACCAACGGAAACAGAAAACATAAACAACGGATGTTCTCTCCTAAGCACAGATGTTCTGATTCGTAACAGCATGAGATCGCTAAAGGCGCAGTGTTCCCGCTAATGAAACACCTGGTTTTATTCAATGATTCTGCGCATGGTTTTTGTATGAAAGATTAAAAAAAAAAAAAAAAAATATAGAACAAATAATTTGGAGTACAGCCAGCAAAATTATGCCTAATTTTTTTTCCAAATAAATTTTTTTATATCATTAAAAAATAGAGAAATTACTTGAAAAAAAAGTGGATTTTAATAACACATAATAAATGAAAATTCTGTGTCTCCTTGTGATATGCTGCTATCTACTGTTTAAAAAGAAAAGTTCAAAGCATATTATAAAGGCAGTTTTATCTATTTATGGTTGAATTTAAAGGTTTCAGAAGTAATTCAATTTGGGTTTTCCATGTAGTGGAACACTGAGCCGTGAAGGGTTAACAATTATTCAACATAATTTCCAGTAGTATATATAAACAAACACACATACACACACATATATATAATTAGAAAACTTATGTACTATCTCCAAAGAACAGAAATTCAATTAAAAAAAATAGTCACTATTTTAATTTAATATTTTCAAAATCTTTATATCTTTATTGCTTTAAAAACATTAAAATACTGCCTAAAAAAAAAAGGAAAAATAATTTTGTTTTTCCGTTTTATTCGAATCTCTGTTCCTTGGAGATGGTATATGAAAAGTTTTATAATTATAAATTATTGGTTTATTACTTTGCAGCTTTAGCACAGGTCATAGGCTTTTTTAATTTACTCATAATTACTTTTATTTAGAATATATATACAGTACAAAGTCTTTAATCTGGACTCGTCGGGATTCCGGATTATAGATCATCAATTTAAATCTGGTAAGATGGCATGCAGAATTATAGAATTAAAAATATGAAACCATAATTTATGAAATAAAGAGCAATTATGATCTAAAGGATATCAAAATTTACAAAGAAAAAAAACAAAGCTTAATATTTATTTGTTTATTTTCTTAAACATTTCTTTCAACGCGCGCATGCGTAAAGCATACATTACGCATCGTTGAAATTAGAAAATTGCAACGGGAAAACTGTTTGATGCATATTCGTGATATTTGTAATGACGAGGAATTTGATTTAAATCATATCAAAGACGGAGTACATCGAGATGAAATATTGTATTTAGTAAGGAATTATAAGCCGAATAAAATAAAAACATCTGCCCTGAAGATGAGGATAGTGCTGACAGATCAACTTCCAGTCCATTGCATGCAGCAATGCCCCCCACCTCCCCCGCAGAGCAGGGTGAAATTGATAAACAGATTTTGGAATGATTAGAGAAACAAAGGATATGCCTTCATCCATTTTTTGCAGAAATTCCACTTTTTATTTGATGGACATCGAAACATGCTTTCGCTTTGTAGATCCTTTGGCAGCTCCAGAATCAGAAACTCTTTTTGACATAATCGAAAGTTCAAGCTTACTTTTTATAAAATTGCTCTAACAGTCTGCAAAAAATAATAAGCTGGATCCAATTAGAAGATTAAGGAACAACGCAATCTGCAACATTAACTGAAATAGATAATTAGATAATTTTAGCATAGCTTATACTGTCTATTATTGTATTATATGTTAAATGTATTATGCGAATGGCATAAACACATTATACGCTTACGCATGCGCAGAAAGTTTGTAGCTTTGAAGTACGGATTATAGATCATTCCGGATTATGGACGGACGCCCGGATTAAAGACTTTGTACTGTATATATATTTGACATCTAAATTTTTTTTTTTTTTATCTTTCTCTTTTTTGGGAAAAGAGAATGCATGGGTTTCTTACAAATTTCACAGTGAGACTACTGGACAGATACATTTACTTTTTGCTATCATCTACTTAGGGATCCAAGGAGATAAACTCCTCGTGCTAGAACCTTTTTATCCTAATAAAACTCTAACAAACAGTTTTATTAGGTTCAGGTTTAGATGAAGAGAGGTAGCTAAAATTTTCTCTTCATGTACAATACTTTTATATATGTACAATTTTTATTTTAATAATGTAGCAATTGTTTTACTCTTCAAGGAATTATCACATTTTGCCATTCATTCTCTCGTAAAGAAAGTGGTTAACATATCTAGCTGGTGTGGCATTTATCGCAATGTTATAATGGAATACATCACAAATATGTATGAAAACAGTTAAGCCCTATTTACAATAGCAGATTCTACAAGTCTTGAAAACAGGGAATTTACACTGTTCCATTCAGGTGGCAAAATAGCATAAACAGTTTGTTGAACTCAGATTTTCCTTGACTTTTATTTTGTCTAGGGAGCAAGGCGAATGGAGAATTATACACATTTTGCATTGTTCAGGTTGCTTCATATTAGGCATTAACAGCATAAGTGACTTGAATTATCCACTCAATAATATGTTAGTAAAAGCTTTGATTAATGCTTGAGAAGAAGAAATTGTTCAATGAAAATTTGACTGGATTATCCAAAATAAAATTTCTCTCAAACGTCCTAAAAAGATATGAAGGTATAATTAGTGACAAACCTACAACTATTGAGAGACCCAATCTGGAGATCTCACTGCTCCCCCCTGACTGATCACTAGATGAAATATCAGCACAAATATATAATTTGCATTTGTTTAGTTAAAATTAAATAGTGAAAATAATTAAGGAAAAAAAAATCATCTAGCTGTCAAACATATATTTAAAAAGGCTTTCATCAAAATTAATGTTTTAGCTACTGCATTTTCTATGGGAAGAACTGCCAAATCTTTTAAGTATTACTTGGCTCATGGTTGATCAAAGACAGTATTTAACACTAGAACTGTGGAGCGGGTTAATTGGACCCAAACCGACGTTTAATTTGTCAGCATGCGAAAAGTATTGATTGAAAAAAAAATTCCTTTTATGACTTTTAATAATTTAAGGTAAGCAGCACCTTACTGAATTTGGAAATGTATAACAAAGAATTTTCTGATTACTAACACCTGTAACTGCAAAATGGGTCAATTTGACCCGTAAGAAACACTTATGCCTAAATGATGAAAAACAGATGCATTTTCTCCGAAGTAACTGTAAAGTATATTTGCCTTACTCCTGAATTCTTGAAATGCGAGAGAAATAGTGTAGTTTTTCAGTCAAGGTCAAAATGTTTGGTTCGAAACGTAAACTGCATTCAAATGCAGTGGAAAATTACAATGAATATTTCGGAAGATTTTTTGAAGTTGCTTTTCTATATTTAGTATAAGGATATCACGACGTCGTCCAGGACTGTTCAACACCGTTAAGGAAGTTTTGGAATACTTACAACAATTATCTGAAAATGATTGAGAAGATGATGATAATGATGACAGTGTTTCGACTTTGAGTAGCGATTATGAATACCTGCCTGCTAATAAAGAAAATTTGACAGTTCAGTTTCATTATCGTGGATGAGAGAGCTCTATAAATTTAATGTTTTGTATGGTACCCATTGAACAAAAATTTCACACAGTGAAATATTCAATATATTTAAATAAGGGAAATTTGTGCAGATATTTAAGAACAAATTTATTGATTTAGGTTACCTTTTCTATGTCCATTACAGAGAAAAACCTAGTTTAACCAGTTTTAAGGAGCAACTATGAAATAAAAACTCTTTTGGCACACTTTACGGATACTAGATAATTTAAAGATAAAAAGCCATTAAAAAAACTTGATAAAGTATAATGAGTGATTAAATAACTAGAATTTTTGTTCCATGGGAATCAAAGTTAATTTTTTACAGAACATTTCTACACACAGTACTAAAACTATTTTCAGGAAATTCTCAACTTTATTTTGAGTAACTCTGGAAGAAGTTCTTAAGGATTAATAATTAAGGTAATAACCCTTTAGCCGTGTTTTTCAAACACATACTATATGTAGTTCTATTAAATCTATAAAATTAGTGGGTGTATAAATATGACTTGATGCCTTGAGTAAATAAAAGGCATCTTTTTCCTTTCAAAATGACAAAAAGCTTTATTAAAAATATTTTCCATAGAAGCTACAACATCCAACCCATATTTAAATAATAAATCAATTCTGGGAAGTAAGAACTCTAATTGTTTTGAAACAATTAAGTTATCAAGCCAATTTTCAATAACCTCATTCACCAGAATTGAA